CCACCATCACCTACACCCGTCCGCCATAGCCAACCACCTTGCACCTTCTTCCTCCACCATCTCCTACACCCATCCACCATAGCCAACCACCTTGCTCCTCTTCTCCACCATCTCCTACACCCATCCACCATAGCCAACCACCTTGCACTTTCTTCCTTTACCATCACCTACACTCATCCACCATAGCCAACCACCTTGCACCTTCTTCCTCCACCATCACCTACACCTATCCACCATAGCCGACCACCTTGCACCTTCTTCCTCCACCATCTCCTACACCCATCCACCATAGCCAACCTTCTTCCACCTTCTTCCTCCACCATCTCCTTCACCCGCTCACCATAGCCGGACACCCTACACCCTCTTCCACCTCCGCCCACGCCGTCCGTCACTCGTTAGACGTAAGTAATGAAAGGGGCACGGGGGACCCAAGGTAAGCCGGTAGGACTGGGCGAAGGAGTAAGGTCGATTACGATAGGAAACCTCTCTCTCTCTCTCTCTCTCTCTCTCTCTCTCTCCTTCGTTCTCTCCCTATGCGCTTGACCTTTACCCCATTTTTGCCCTCTTCCTCCCGCTCCTTGGCACGTGACTAACCTTTCCCCTCACTTGTTACATTGTCAGGGAACGAACGGCAAATGAACTTGGTCCTCACTTGGTGGAGAGAGAGGGCAGGGGAAGAGCTGTCGGTCCCTTGTGCCACCAAGAAGGAAAAGAACGGGACCCTTGTGGAAACTTGAAAGGGGGGGTTCTTTTTGAAAAGTTGAGAGAGTAAAGGCTTGAGACAAGGTCAGTTTGACTCAACCATTTCCCCCGACTGCATGACTAAGGAGAAGGCATGGCTTGCTTGAAGGGAGTGAAAGAGAACCAAAAGGGTCATTGGAAGAGAAAGGAACTTAGGCTCGTGGGGGGGGCGATGTTTTGACCCCAATGGGAATCGTACTTTGTCTTTGCTTTGTGTGGTCTTGCGCAGGTGAATAGCTTAGGATGGTTTGAGCGGGACTGGACTCGGGAAAGACGCGAGCGATCGGAATGGGAGGGTCATAGGCCTAATGTAAACTCGGAACGTGGGAAGGGTGTGACTCAGCATGTGGAATGTGTGTCTTGATCTTTGCATGCAACATGGAAGCCCGGAAGGACTAAGGGCAGCCGATGGACATGTGAATAACATTCATGTGCTAGGCAAAAAAAATTGTGCATGGAGGCTAGGGGATGGATGACACCACCGCCCCGCGAGGATGTCGTAGGAACTGTCCGGAATTGCTACGGCTAGTGAAAGGTGTGTGGCCCAATGGATGACGCTTGGTCTGCACACGGAAGAACACGAATCTTCAATAAAACTCTCTAGACTGCTTATGTATTGGAAGGAGCAATTGTCTGGCCACACTTAAGTGAATCGAGAAAACGCCAGGAGTGACCAAAGAGTTACCATCTAACGCGAGAGCGGAGCTACATCCCCCAATGTAAAAACCTCTCGCAAATGACCCATCCATCCATCTCATAGCACTAGGTGGGGGTGTCCTTGGGGCGAACGACCCGCGCCCTGAGCTTGAGCGTGGGCGGGTCGAGCCAAATGGGACCCGCAATGGGGTCGACCCAGGCTCGAAAGTTCTGCAGGGTACAGCTGCTACACCGGAACACCACAACACACATGCACTTGACAACGGGAAGATTGAACTAGTGAAAGGCACATGCACATAGGAGAAAAAATCAATTAAGTATGAACCGGAACATCACAACATACATGAACTTGACAATAAGAAGATTAAACTAGTGAAGGACACATGCTCATGGAGGAAAGATCAACAAAGTATGAACCGGAACATCAAAACATACATGAACTTGACAATGAGAAGCTTGAACTAGTGAAACATACATGCACATGGAGGAGAGATCAACTCAGTACGAGCCAGAATATCATAACACTTATGAACTTGACAATGAGATACTTGAACTTGTGAATGACACATGCACATGGAAGACAGATCAACTAAGTAGGAACCGGAACATCACAACATGCATGAACTTGACAAAGAGATACTTGAAGTAATGAAGAACACATGCACATGGAGGAGAGATTAACTAAGTAGGAACCGGAACATCACAACATACATGAACTTGACAATGAGATACTTGAACTAGTGAAGGACANTGCACATGGAGGAGAGATTAACTAAGTAGGAACCGGAACATCACAACATACATGAACTTGACAATGAGATACTTGAACTAGTGAAGGACACATGCTCATGGAGGGAAGATCAACTAAGTATGAACCGGAACATCACAACACACATGAACTTGACAATGAGAGGCTAGGACTAGTGAAAGGCACATGCACATGAAGGAGAGATCAACTGAGTATAAACCGGAACATCACAACACACATGAACTTGACAATGAGAAGCTAGAACTAGTGAAAGACACATTTGCATGGAGGAAAGATCAACTAAGTATGAACCGGAACATAATAAACACACATGAACTTGACAATGAAAAGCTAGACTAGTGAAGGGGCACATGCACATAGAGGAGAGATCAACTAAGTACGAACCAGAACATCACAACACACATGAACTTGACAATGAGAAGATTGAACTAGCGAAAAGACACATGCACATGGAGGAGAGATCAATTAAGTATGAACCGGAACATCAAAACGTACATGAACTTTACAATGAGAGGCTAGAACTGGTGAAAGGCACATGCACATGAAGGAGAGATCAACTAAGTATGAACCGACACATCAAAACATACATGAACTTGACAATGAGAGGCTAAAACTAGTAAAAGGCACATGCACATAAAGAAGAGATCAACTAAGTATGACCCGGAACATCAAAACATACATGAACTTGACAATGAGAGGCTATAACTAGTGAAAGGCACATACACATGAAGGAGAGACCAACTAAGTATAAACCGGATCATCACAATACACATGGACTTGACAATGAGAAGATTGAACTAATGAAAAAAACGCATGCACATGGAGGAGAGATCAACTAAGTATGAACCGGATCATCATCATGTGAGAGTTGAGTCATGTACGTGAGTGAGTCTTGCTCAAACGCATGTCCATGGCTCATGCATGTAACCAAGTTTGAAACAGAATGTCATTGTCTACCATGTAAGTGGAAGGCACAAGCTAGACTAGTCCCAAGACACAAGTCTTGAGCACAAAATCACTTATGGAAAATTCGGAGTATTCCCTATTAGCATATGGGTGAAAATTAAGACTTACATTAAGCCAAATCACAAGTAATGAGCATGAGATCATTTATAGAAGAATCGGAGCATCTTCTACTAGTGTGTGAGTGAAAAGCAAGATCTAAACTAGTCAAAATCACAAGTAATGAGCATGCGATCATTCATAGAAGAATCGGAGCATCTCCTACTAGTGTGTGAGTGAAATGCAAGAGTCCAAGTAGCCCAAATCACAAGATTGAACACGAGATCATCCATAGAAGAATCGGAACATCTCCTACTAGTGTGTGACTGAAATGCAAGAGTTACACTAGGCTATATCACAAGATTTGAGCAAGAGATCATCCATGGAAGAATCGGAGGATCTCCTACTAGCATGTGAGTGAAAAGCAAGATCTACACTAGTCCAAATCACAAGTAATGAGCATGAGATCGTCCATGAAAGAATCGGAGGGTCTCCTACTAGCATGTGAGTGAAAAGCAAAATCTACACTAGTCC